ACTCTAGTGAAGTACTACAAATTCGCTCTCCATCTGTCGCTTCGAAAAGCTTGTTCCACGTGCATTTATCCGGGGACCCTGTGGCATCTTCGTCTGGTCTTACAGGCGTTGGTGTCGCACTAAGCGCTAGGGCTGAGGCAGCACTAATCGATTGGATCCCCATCAACAGTCGGTTATGTGCTGTTAGATTAGAAAGTTCCATCAAAGTGAGAAGAAACCGGCGTGAGAATCGGTGTCTTTTCGTCATCTCCGCCTATGCTCCGACAGATTGCAGCCCGGACGCAATCAAGGATGAGTTTTACCACCAGTTAACAGTTCTTCTCCAGAAAGCGCGTTCGACAGATATTGTAGTACTAGCCGGAGACTTGAATGCTCAGGTCGGGCGTCTAGGCACAGAAGAGAGTCGTTTAGGTGGCCGATGGGGACTTGTTGGTCGCAGGACAGATAACGGGGACCGTTTGCTGCAACTGTGCACAGACCACAACCTGTTTCTGGCCAGCACTAACTTCCGGCACAGTCATCGCCGGTGTGCCACCTGGCGTCCTCCCTCTGCATCCCAAGCCTGGACTCAGATTGATCACATCGCGATCAGCTACCGCCGGCCTGGTTGTGTACAAGACTGCCGCTCCTTTTGGAGTACCTATCCGGAGTCTGATCATGCCCTTGTCTGCGCCAATCTCACCTTACTTTTCAGTGGCCGAAGGATTGACCACCACCAACGGATCGATGTTAGTAAACTGGCTGCAACTTCTGTTGCAAGTAAGTATCGAGCGGAGCTAGCTTCTAGGCTAGCTACCATCCCACTGAAAAGTATAGATGAGCATTGGTTGCATCTTCATGACGCCATGAAAATGGCGAGTAAAGCCGCTTGCGGCTTCGCGAATTATCCCGCTTACAAGCACTGGGTTTCTTCTGGCTCCTTACAACTGATGGAAGCCCGTCGGTCTACTCCGGGTGACCGTGAGTTTGACCACAAACGAATGCTGTTACGTAATGAAATCGGGCAAAGCTTGCGTAAGGACCGGGAAGCCTGGTGGTCGGAGCGTGCTAATGAGATGGAAGAAGCAGCTGCATCTGGTAACTGCCGGAAGCTCTTCCAACTCATCCGAGCCACTGGCAGCAAGAAGTCTGATGTGAGTGAAACAATCTACTAGGATGATGGGATGCCAATCACTAACATCTCTCGACGTCTTGGACGATGGGCGGAATTTTTCGAAGGGCAGTTCAGCTGGTCTGCTGCTCCGGCAACATCAACCAATTTGTCCTGCCCCCCATGGCCGGTGACGACTAATCCACCAAACGAGGCGGAAGTCCGCAAGGAACTCCAACTCTTGAAACGTTACAAATCACCGGGCCCAGATGACTTACCTCCGGCTCTTTTTAAAGATGGTGGCGACTTTCTGGCTAAGGAACTGTCGGTGTTGTTTGCAAAGGTTTGGGAGCAAGAAAGTGTTCCAACATCATGGAATGAGTCAATCGTCGTCCGTATCTTTAAAAAGGGTTCACGTTGTTCCTGTAATAACTATCGGGGAATAAGTCTACTTCCGATTGCGTCCAAACTATTGGCTTCTGCCATTCTTCGTAGGTTGTTTAAAACCCGAGAACGATTGACTCGCGAGGAGCAGGCTGGGTTTCGTTTTGGTCGAGGATGCATTGATCACATCTTCACCCTCCGCCAAATGTTAGAACACCGTCATTCTTATCGCAGGCCAACAATCGTAGTGTTTCTTGATATCAGGGCTGCCTTCGATTCATTGAACAGGACTGTTCTCTGGGATTGTCTATTGAAGAAGGGTGTGCCTGAGAAGTTCATTAACATCTTAAAGGCCCTGTATACGAACACCTCAGGCAGAGTGAGGGCATACAACCACCTTTCTCCCTTGTTCCATTCGAGCAGTGGGGTTAGGCAGGGTTGCCCGATCTCACCATTCCTCTTCAACTTTGCCATCGACGACATCCTGGAAACAGCTCTGGTGGATGTAAGTAATGGCGGTGTGGATATGTTGCCTGGAGAACGACTTCTCGACCTCGAGTATGCGGATGATATTGTCTTACTGTGCGATAATGCCCAAGGCATGCAATCCGCACTTAATCAGTTGGCAATCAGTGTCCGCAGGTACGGCATGTGCTTTGCACCCTCCAAGTGCAAAGTACTCCTACAAGACTGGCAGGATTCTCATCCTGTACTCACCCTGGATGGTGAGCAGATTGAAGTAGTTGAGAAGTTCGTGTATCTAGGTAGCTATATAAGTGCTGGTGGTGGCGTGAGTGATGAGATTGATGCACGTATAAAGAAAGTCAGAGCGGCTTATGTCAATCTGGGCCATCTTTGGCGCCTTCGTGATGTTAGTCTGGCTGTAAAAGGTCGGATCTACAACGCGTCGGTGAGAGCAGTTTCGCTCTATGCTTGTGAAACCTGGCCTCTCCGAGTTGAGGATGTTAGACGTCTCTCTGTGTTCGATCATCGTTGTCTCCGAAGGATTGCTGACATACAGTGGCAACACCATGTTAGTAATGCAGAGGTTCGGCATCGTGTGTTCGGGCGCAGAGATGATAATCCGATTGGTGTCACCATCTTGAAACACCGACTTCGGTGGCTTGGACATGTTTTACGAATGTCGTCCCAGAGACTTCCACGTCGTGCATTATTTGCCGACCCTGGGACTGGTTGGAAAAAGCGGAGAGGAGGTCAGTGTATGACATGGTGTTGTGGCATGAAAGAAAGCTGCAAAGGGCTAGCTTCTGTTGGTCCTTCACGACTCCCTGGCTGGGGTCCGAGAGATGGTGCAACACAGTGGCTAGAGACGTTATCGGATATGGCTCAGAATAGAAGCCAGTGGCGATCCTGCTGCAACCTTCTTTTACTTTCTACATAAAGAATGGTTCTAACTTTCTTAACTGAAAGAGTCTTCTGGTTGTACATTTCAGTCCGCCTTATCTTTTCATCCCTTCTCTTCCTACTTTCATTATTTTGTGTGGCGCATATGTACCTGGTGCCCTTTTGTACCAATATATATGTTTAAATAAATAAATAATAAATAAACTACACGCTCAACTATTTCACTCCCTATCATTAGTTCAGGTGTCGATGCAACCCAATCCTGAAGTAACATTTTGCACTTGGAGGGAGAGAATCGCATCCCGAACATGCCTGCATTGTTGCTTATAGTGGTCAGAAGGCTCTGCATTTTGTCAGCGTCTTCACCGAATAAAACTGTCGTCGGCGTATTCAACAAGTGAATCTCCCGGTAAAAGTTCAACTCCAGGAGATTGAGATGATGAAAGTGATATCTCTAAAAGCATGTCAACTACAAAGTTAAACAAGAATGGGGAGAGTGGACAGCCCTGACGAACATCACTTGAGGTAACCAAAGTAGTTCTACTTAATGCTTGTGAAACCGAGCTCTTCCAAGCTGAAGATATTTAGACTCCCTGGGTGTGATCACTGCTTTCCTTGAATTCCCCAGATTCAGTAACAATATTATATCGATAATGAAGACATTTGCCATAGTATGTATAGTCTCAGCTATTTAAGAAGCACAGTGGTATTCTTCCTGTGTATTTTATAGTGATGATCGTTTAATTACGCATCAAGACTATTGTTATTGCTTCAATTGTCAGTCAGTCAGTCAGTCAGCTACAACGTAGAACCAGTCACATATATGCATCGGTCCAAGTTGCCATACCTCGTTAGCACAACAAGATCAACACCGGATTCATAGTAGTTAATTTAGTGGTGGTGGTAGTATATAAATTATAGGTTGTATATAAGGATATAGTACAATTGCTTTAATTGAATTTATTTCAGTTAAAAGTAATTCCCAAGAGTACCGCTTTTTTTCTAAAGAGGTTTATCATCTGTACTTTTCCAGTGCATATAAAAAAAGGTATGGGCACTGGTATTCATTTTCCCTCGTTGAGTATATCTTTGAGCATTTTTGATATCCATAGGTGTTAAGGTTTTTTACGTAGCTATCGAAGTTGGTTTCTTATCTTTTTATTGTTAATCGATACAGTTATATACAAACCTCTGTTTTTTGTGTCTACTATATATCAAACTTTAAAAGACACTCTATCTAGAGATCAGTTTTCTCTGTGAGATCACAAAACAAACTTATGGCCCAAATAAAACATCTTTTTGACAGACCTGCATGTAATTTCCCTGTTGATCATGGGATGCAGTGTGATAATTGAAATAAGTGGTATCACAATGTGTGCACCGGACTCACACTGGATGCATATAAAAGGTGTTGCAAGTCATTATCACGTTGCCTGTATTAAAGCATGTTGTTCTACAAAGTCTCTGTTGATTCTAGAGGCGATTGAGCTGCTAAATATAGCTAGAAATAACTAGAAGATGAATAACAGGCCGTAGGCCTTCTGTCCTTACTACACAAGTGTGGATCTAAAATGAGGTTGGATATGAAGAAATAAAGGTATATATCACTTAATCGTACAATTCTCCACCTATCGCTTTTATTTTAACCTACTCATCCTGCCAATATATATTTTTAATACTACTTATCTCTTCCCTTACGTCAATAAAGTGTACTAGCCAATATAGTTGCAACAACTGAGAGAGGTTCTGATATTTTGCTTAAAACCTTGTACAGTAAGAATAACTCTCGGCGGATAAGGAGAAATATTTATGACATTTACCACAGGCTCCATATTCTCGTGACAATGCCAGTTAAAATAAGAAAACTGAGACTCGGAAAGATTTGCTCCTGCAAAATCTAATCAGATTTCAAGTATGTTCTGGGCGAAAATGTACATAACAACTGTCTTAATATAAATACATCAGAATTGCCAGAATATGAGGCATGAAACCGGGCGGAAATGACCATTACTTTACCATATACTCTAGTCATACAACTGTAGCGGTCCGTGTCTAGCAATAAGGTACTTTGAGTACAACGGATGGATGCATAGTAGCTTAAGTGAGAAATACAAAAGGAAATGTAAGTCAATGACCCAGAGAGTGCAAACAATGTACTTACATTTACTATAGAAAGCAACAGATGACAACAGTCAATGACACAAGCCTCAGAGCTAGACAACTTAGTAATCGAAGATAGAAGCAGATGGTCTGACCCGCCAACACCAAAACAAGCGCAGCAAACTTACTGAGGCGATTTCCAATGTCATCCGTCAAATATCCAATATCTTTGTCGCAGGGTTGTATAAACCAGTTGATTTCTTTGCTCGCGCTTCTTATCGTTTCCGTACGTTTCCATTCATTTGACAATGTAAAATGGGTAGTAGTCTAGCCATTCAACTGCACAAGCTTTAGTAATCTTGATGGTTACTTGTGGATTTGCATATTTTGTAATTCGAGTGAGAGGGATTGTCCCAGAGAAGCATGATTTCTGGATATCTGCAGCAATTATATTAACATGTAGAAAATTTGTTGACTTGGATATGAAAACGCAGTTAAGTGCAACGCGAGTACCAAAAGAAGACGATTATCTCCTTTGATATATGTGACGTGGGAGGTGTCCTTGTCCGTTCGAAGTGTCTCATTCGTGACCATGTTAAGTGTGACTGTCCCGCGGTTGCTGCTTACGCAGTTCTGCGTGCACAGGGACATCTCTCACTATTAACTGATCATTAGCCAGAAACTAATCTAGGTTTGAAGGTCTTACGTTCTAAAGATGCTACAAATATTCGTAGTTTGATAATACCTTAACCAATATACCCTTTATGATCGAAACTTGCCAACCCAGTGAAATCAAAAGTCAGAGACGAAGAAGTTCAAAGATATATTTTATAGAATATCGATATATCGAGAAGTGACTAACCGAAACTGACTAGCTGTTGTAGGATAAGTGAAGCGTGGCGTACTCACTCGTGATCTGGTGCGAATACATGACCAAGAGCCTTCAGCCAAGTGAATCTGACAAAAATGACGCGGTTAGCATCAAATGTTGAAGACCCACGGAGCTATTGATTTTGGGGATTTATTGACCGCTGCATATCACCCCACACCCTTAGTGGGGCAGTGACGACCCTAAGACGTAGTCAGCCAGAAGTTAAAACCCAATGATTTTGTCGTCGGTAAACATAATCTTGATAACTTGCTGTGTTTAGCAGCGTCTAATCGTCTTTCCTTAATATAAGGAGCCATGTAGTACATTACAGTAATGGAAAACGGGTACAATGGAAATTTCGATTCATCGTAAACTTCGTCGTTTTTTGATGTTTTCAAGCCGTCCTGAAAAAAGGATATATGAGTGCATGTCGAATTACACTCGCACGTGCATGAAAACACTAAACAGGAGGGAAAAAGAAAATAAACTCATGTCCATGTATTTCGTAAACATGCACTAGCGTAAAAACGATTTTCGCAGGATTTTTTTGGTTATTTCTGAAAACATAAAAATATAACCACGTGACCAATCATATTAGCAACAAAAACATTTTTTTGAATAAATATATATCGGCATATTAAAAAGCTTGTCTTGTTCTTTGACGAAATACAAAAGAAGTCGAGACGAAACGAAGTGTTATGCAGTACCTTACGTACACTAATCATTTACGTATTCTAGAAATCCTACTCTTCCTCCAGAACGCGTTGTTTTGAGTCGTTTATCGGATATCCCCGAAGTGTCGTCGTGATTGTTGACTATCGGGTGAGGAATCGTAATTGTGCAACCCCCGTTCTTCGATTGTACCGAAGGAAAATCGATATGCATAGGGTTTCCTTCTAAATATGCGACTTTGAGACGACTGGTGCTGATTCTATCGTTAGTGCCGTTCTTGTCTATTATATAATACCTAGGTTCATTTTGAAGAACTTCGAAGGGTCTTTCAGAATATTGAAGACGTTGCGTCGATAATGTTTCAGCGCGGTTGGATGTTCCATAGCTGTAGTTGCGTCGCGGTATAAAGTTTCCTCATCTGTTCCCATCTGTTTGATGCACAGTTTAAGGGTTGTTGAGGATAACTCGTGCCGAAGATCAGTGTCTTCTTTTTGATGCTGGGCGAGCTTAAGAAAGTTGATTCTTTGGAAGCTGTTCAAGGGAGTTATACGAGACAAATCGTCTGCGACTATATTGTTTGCTCCAGAAATTTGTTGTATATTTGAAGTAAACTGCGAAATGTAGTCCAGTTGTCGAGACTCGCAAGTTGAGCACTTGACTGGAGATGAGCTTAAAGAGAAGGTGTAAGGTTTAAGATCGGTAAAAATTATGAATTCTCTTCCTTCAATGGAACGTTGGAAATGCCGTACAGCACAATACACAGCTAGGATTTCTCTACCGAAAGTGCTGTACCCCGATTCATTTTCTAACAACCGTCTCGAGGAAAATCCTAAAGGTTGCCAAGAGTGGTTAACCCATTGTTGTAAGACTTCTCCGATTGCTGAATCGGATGCGTCTACTGCGATACTAATTGGGGCTTGAGTGTCCTGATGTGTGAGCAGGGTTGCTTTTGTGATGAGTTCCTTAATTGCGTAGAATGCTTTCCGCGCGGTGTTGTCTAGATTAATTGATTTCGCATTTCCATGAAGTTGGTCGGTTAGCGGTTTCATAAGGGATGTGTATTTTGGTATGAACCGCCTATAAAAACTTACGAGACCGTTAAATCGCTTGATGATGGGCGGCCCTGGGTAATCCAGAATGGCCGCTACTTTGCTTCTAAGAGGTCGAATGCCATGAGCATTAATAGTGTGTCCTAGTAATTCTAACGAGTCAGTTCCAATTTGGCTTTTCTGAATGCTTACAGTAATGCTATGCCTTTGGAGTCGTCCGAAAACAATGTCCAGATGCTGGAGAAGGGATTCTCTGTCCGAACTTGCTATCAGACAGTCGTCAACATACGCATGTACGAAGTTGAGACCTAGGAAAACGTGAGAGGTGTTAGTTGGTTAAGTCGACCATTTATTTCGGCAAGAGTGTTTCGTAACTTATGGATGCCAGGACTATATAGATCAGTATTTTCGTAAGTGTGAGATAAACTTTTAAACTCCTTGTTTTTTTGAATTTAGGATTTAGGTCTTGGTAAAGCATTCTGTCTGGTGGACCGTGTTGACCTTCTGATGCACGTGGGTATTGTGCCTTTCATGTCAACTAGTTTTACCGTTGGCATACTACACGAAGAGATAGAGAGGTTGTTACATGGAGAATCAGGTATTGATATTGATATAGTGATGTGATAGTGATGTAGAATTTCATGTCGATGCTAGTGAGTGGATGATGTAGCATCTGAAGCTGAAGATACAATACCAGAGCAGACTTGTATTCAACATTTAACACTTATGGAAGATCATAAGAGGTGAACATTTAATAGTGGCTGCATGACTCAGCTATGTAAACGTGGTCACCATTTGTAACTTCTCTTTCGTGTTAAACATATTATTCTATCCTCATGCCAAATGTGTTTATCAAAAGTTCATAGAAGGCGTATTGCTGACTGCCACGATCTGATGAGTCAAGACAAAGTTAAGGCAGTTCTGATACTATGTTTTTATATGTTGATTTTCAGCTGCTTATGTGTTGGTAGGCTGAAAGAACAAGTTACTGAACAGCAAGCATGATGACCTCAAAATACTAACAGACATGGGGGCCGGAAATTTAGTTGGTTTTAGGACCATCACTGTGGTTTGCAGTGAGGCGATTAATCAATGATATTGATATCCTTCTCTTACGCATGATACTTCAATTCATTTTTATGACTTCAAATTAGCTTCAAATTCAAACCACGAAGGTCTATTACATGCAAATCAAACTCAAGCACTTAGAACAAGGATTTAACAGCATTTAGAAGGGGTGGCGAAATTATTTATATATCTTACCAGCTTTTACTAAATTCCTATATTGCAATTTGGAAATTACCAATTTTTACACCACATCTTTATTTTAGCCTTACCCTCATTAGATCAGATCTATCTCCCGTCTTTGAGCCTCACCGCTTGATAGCTTCTATCCAGTAGTCCACTCAAGGATTCTTGGTAGTTGATTAGGTGATTGGGGTTAGTGTACGTTTTGTCTATTACCTTGGCATAACTTGAATTCCTCCATCACAATAAATTACATTTTGTCACACCTATACCGAAGACCGTTCAGAGTTATAAAACTAAGACAAAATAATGTTATGACAATTCACGGAAGCTAGGATTGTTCCCGCTAATATATGTAGCAGCAAATAAGGTAGTTTAAATCACTCCAACAAGGTATTGTTGTTCGAAAATCACCAACATAAACTGAAAGTTGATCGTCATATGGCTACTCATTAACGGTCAAGCAACCAGGAGTGATCAGACTTTGTGCATTGCAAATCCATTCAAAGGTGGAACATTGATGTGGTCAGCATAATCAATTGTCCTGTCAGTGAGTTGTTTCACGTGAATGTCAGGTGGTTATCTAGGGCCTCACGGCCCACCCACCACTGGCTAAAATAAAAGATGAAAGAATAAGATAAAAATGGAAATATTCTGTCTCGTTTATTTACTCCTCTTACTCAACGACACTACCTGCTTTTCTCCTATTGAGCGACAGTGATAAGTCAAACTACTGCTAGTGCTCCTGAGCGTAAGTCGCAATCTAAACCTCATTGTATGTTACCAACACCTAAAATTGTTCACTTACACCTATATCCCGACTGCTATAAAACAATAGGTTCATGCTAGTTCATCACGAAGATTGTGGATACTTCACTTAAATTCCTTTAGCTAGACGAATAATCCAAGTTACCATCAGTTTGGTTATATCGTCCGACAGACTAAGAATAAATTTCGCCCGATTTTATACTCGGATGACTTCAAGTTCGGGATATCTAATTCATAGAAAATAATGACAATGGTGCTTGATAGAAGAATCAGACAGACTATTCTTTTGTCTGAAAAGAAATTTCATTAACATGGCGTCGAAAGTTGCCTACCTATTAGTCTTATACCCCTTTAAACAGGGCCATCTACTGCTGCACCATTCTGTCTTTGTAATTGAATCACCGGAAAAATGCACTCATATGAATTTCTTTAGCAACATCAACTGGGAATCTGTTAGGTCAAATTTTGAAGGCACATCCTAGCCCAGCAAACACAACTCTGTCAGCGTGGACAAAAAATGAAATCCTCAGACTGCCAGTCAACAAGCTCATTCGACGTTCATCCACTTAATCCTTTCACTCGTTCTCCTGCCTAAGATCTAGTACGCGCAAGCTCATCAAGGCTAATTAATAAACCATACTTAGCTTGCTGGTATGTCCGTAATACGCAACCCAATGAGCAAATAGAGGTCAGTATGAGTACGGTCTTCAGTTTTCAGTAATAAGGGTTAGAAATCTATCGACCTATGTTAATCCTTGCAGTTTGTAATACTGTGGAGATCCAATCTCGCTTTGAATATATCAACAGTAGGTGACGATATTACGTTTTGTAGTCGAGAATCATAGTAATTCAGTACTTGATGAGAGGAACAAAACTCCAGACGTAAACGATTTGATCTCGGTTTCTGAACTTTCTTCGAATGTCCTCCCAAACGATCAGTCCTAGACGGATGGAAAAATAAGACATTATTACCAACGTCATCGTTCAGTACATAACAGGCTAACACCAGATCACCCTGTATTTTACGGTAAGATAACGGAAATAAGTTGAGATGTCTTAGTCTGTCTTCATAAGATAGGCGAGATAGACCTTTCACCATTTTAGTCCCTCGTCGTTGGACTCGTCCCAGCATATCCGCCTCATACTTGAAATAAGGACTGACTACTTGAATCCCACATTCCAAATGTGGTCGCTTGAAAGTCGGGCATAATATTCTAAACATTTCTTCATCCAAATACTAAAAAGACAAACGATTAACCCACAGTACCCCATAGCCTTTGCAGCAACAGCCTCACAGTTACTAGTAGTTTTGATATCACTTTTGGTAATACGTATCCATATATTGTGTGGGGATACTAATCACCTTGGTTATTTAATTACATCACCACACTTTTGTCAGGATTCAGTTCTAGTGAACACCTGTTCACCCATGCCACCAATGAGCTGAAATCATCGTGTAATACTATTCTCTCTGACATACTGTGTATGGGTATCTAAATTTTTATATCGCCGGTGAAGTGTAGAACGGACGACTTTGCTACATTTAGTAAATCATTTACATAAAGTAAAAACGGAAAAGGATCGAGGAGTGTGTCTTGGGGAACCCCACACTTTACAGGTTCCCACAATGAGAGAGCTCCATTTACCCTTGCCCCTTGTCTCCTGTCATAGAGAAAGTGATTTATCCAGTCTATGACCGCATAACGGATTCCAAAACTTTCCAGTTTTAACTAAAGACCCGAATAGAAACCTTATCAAAGGCTTAACTTAGACCTTTGAAAATCTCACTTACAGGAATATTTCGATCTTTTGCCGCAACAGAATCTTCTCTTGCTATTAGAAGATTTGCCAAACATGATAGGCCTTTCCGAAAACCATCTTTTCCCAAAAGCTTATGTCCTTCCAAATAGTTTGTAACAGCCATCCGAATAATCTTTACCATTAGTTTTGCAACTGCACTGGCTAGACTAACGGATTGATAATTACCAATTCTATCTCTATCCTCCACCTTGTACACTGGACTGAATATTGCATCTTTCCAGTCTCATGGCAGTCCTGACTGCCTCAGAGACATATCAAACACTGTGGCTATAGGTTCAGCAATTACATCTGATCGGGCTATAATAATCATAGGATGAATATCAAACCCACTGGACTTATCAGGTTTGGGATGCTGAAGTAGTCTTAAGAAGGCACCTTTCTCAACCACTGCAGGGTCTATCAACAGACCGCCACAATCGCAATAGGATAACGATCCCACATGTCGCTCATAATAGCCTTCATTTTTCATTCATTTTAGTAGCGAACAACACTTATTAGGACAGCTATTCATAATAGCTCTACGTGAACTATGAAGTTCCCTGCCCAAAGACATAGTGTTGATGTCGTCTTTTGAGTTTTGTAGAGGAACGGTCGACAGCTAATTTACTGCCATAGGTACTAAGGATTATGACGCCGCGAATTACTGTATGGTTGCTCCTACAGTTAATGACCAACTTATTGCTTTTTGCTGATGATGTGAAACTTTGGAGAGAGATACGTAATCATAATGATATACTAGTTCTTCAGGAGGATCTGACCCGACTTCAAAGTTGGGCAGACGACAACGGACTTACCTTCAACATTTCAAAGTGCAAGGTGGTCCATCTGAGACATGTTGCAGACTATAGTTATAACTTAGGCAACTCCCCTCTAGAAGTTTCCCAAGCCGATAAAGATTTAGGAGTGTTGGTACCCTACGACCTGAAATCGTATGCGAACTGTGACAAAAACGCCTCTCAAGCAAACCTTGCACTGGTAACATTGAAGCGCATTTTTGGCCAGTTTGACGGTAGAACCTTCCATATATTCTTCAACAGTTTTATTCGTCCCCATTTAGAGTACGGAAACATAGTATTTCCTCCCTCCCTCCAAAAGCATAAGGACACTCTGGAACGTATCCAACGTCGAGCCACGAAATCAGTTCGGGGACTCAAATTCAAACCTTATGAAGAGCGCCTTCAATCACTTAACCTTTACCAGTTAGAGTACAGGCATCTTAGAGGTGACCTTCTTATGACTTACAATATCCTTAATACTTCTGGTCATCCCCTTAAACATCTTCTTAAGCTTAGTCATAACACTAACCTCAGAGGTAACACCCAGAAATTGAAGACTTTACATAGCAGAACAGACTGCAGACACAACTTCTACTCCGTTAGAGTTGTCAAGTGTTGGAATTCGCTGCCGACTGAGCTAGTCCAAGCGACTTCCCAGGAGTCCTTTAAGAGGAAACTTGACTTATTCTTAAGGAATAAGGATAACATTATTATGATTTACCAAATTCGTTTTTTCCTCTATTATCATTAATATACCTAGGTTTTTGTCTGGAGGTATTGGTGATCCACTGCTACCAGACACGGAAGCCCGTTAAGCGAAAGCTTCTTCTATTCCTTCCTCAACCATTTGAACCATTTGAATCAGTCCTTCATTTCAATAGTGAGAGCACAAGAAATACACTTTAATACCATAAAAATGCCTTCCGACCACCCAGATGTAAGTTCGAAACAACATGTAGTTAATAAGTTCCAGCAAACAAAGATTGAAGTTTGATCTTACAGTAAATTGTAGCGGGTAGTGTAAAAGGTGTCGGACATGTCCCGAAAGTGTGTGGTTTCTAGTAGTTTAGCTGACTTCGAATCTTGTCACTTTAGAGATCTCAGTGATTTCTTGTTTCAATGGCAGATCTCCTTAAAAACCCAATGAATTTTCAGAATAAACGGCGGAAATCGCTGTGTTTTCAAGGGGATCTATTCTGATCAATCACTCAAAAAAAGACAGCATATATCATTCTTGAAGTCTTTTTCTAAGTATCCTTCCAGTCATAATTAGCTAGCATCTCAGTCTGCGCTATTTATTATAGGTCTCATAATTGCACGCTTGACTACTATCCGTACTTTTTCGAAGGGAATCCTTCGGACTTTTTTTTGCTACGCACCTATTTCAGTCGTTCTATGGATCTATTAATTGTCAGTCGGACGAGCTTAATAAGCGTGGAGTAGATAAAATTCTGCCACTAGTACAAGTGCATTCTTTTTCTTTCCATCTCATAAGTATATTACTAAACGCACCTGCACCTGTCTATGCTGGTCTTATTTCTTCCCTATTGTGCTAGTGTCTTTGTAATGTGTGGAGACGTGGTTTTTGTATTACTATATGAGGTGGTCAGCTACATTCGGTGTGCGAGTTAAACAATATTAGCATACTACATCGTAAAAGTGTAAATCTTCAACGTATTTGCGTGTGATTCTACTCTTGTTTGCAACTTTTCAGTTCTTTATTTTGACATAAGTGTTGTAGAGCTGTACGCAAAACGTGTTTCGTATGAACATTTGTCGAGATTTAGGCGAACAGCTTGGCGAGACTTGTCTACTAGGTTTTTCTGTGCAATTTCGAACCACACTGCCGGGCGGAATATTAGGATCACTTAAATTTCAGCCACTGAAATAATTTCACATGTAATTTTTACCTTTAGAACACGTTTTGGTATTTCAGATATTTCGTTATCGTCAGTTTGTAATCATAAAAGTAGTAGCTACTTAATGAGCTTTAAGCGTATTGTTGGGTTTCGAGGAAGGGTTTGTAACAATTTCGAATGCAGACGATTTGCTCTCAAAAGATCGTTCTGTTCTAAAATCCCTTAAAATTTAGTCTAGGCCGCCTCAAATAATTGTTAGCCTTGTAGCTATCAATGCCAATGTTAGACTTGATAGCTTCAAATAAATTTGGCATTGGTTAATAAGTTAATAATATCTTTTTGTGATATTCCTTCATACTATTTAAACTCATGTTAACTTTATTTCAGTTATTTATTTACTATAAAAAAGTGACTTACATTAAGTCACAAAACATCTAAAGTACAATTTTCTACACTCTGGGATATCAAAAAATATTTATTATTTGTTAGTTTTGGTTTTTTGCTATGAGTTATGAGTGACAAATAATTGTTTGTCTTTTTTTCCCTGGTGCTTCTTTTGAGTATAGCTAATACATTCTCCCATTCGTCACTGTATGTTTACAATCGCCCAAAACTAGTTAAAACAACTAAATTGACGTACATCAACCAATCGTGTTGACATCCTTCAGGTTTCACTTCGTTTAGTAATGGCAGGTTATCCTCATCATTTTGTTACTGCTCACCTTGGTTATCCTGGTTATGCTCACGCAGCCTACGTGCCTGCGTCGATTCCTAATCCAGCTAACTCTGTCACCCAGTTGTCAGCTGCCCAAATCAATGCGGGTTGGGTAGAGCACCATTCTCATGATGGGAGAAAATACTACTATAATACATTCACTCAACAGACGACTTGGGAAAAACCTCAAGAGTTGAAGACTCAGCGTGAGAAAATACTTTGCAACTGTCCATGGAAAGAGTTTAAATCCGAAAACGGAAAACCTTACTATTTTAATGAGAATACAAAACAATCAGTATGGATCAAACCGCAAGAACTTATAGACGCTGAAAACCAAGCAGCCGCCTGTAATGCTGCTACGAATTCTACGGTCCCCGAACAACCACCAAGTATGCCTCCGGTTACACCGTGTACACCAGCCACCCCAAAAGATGACGTTAATAAGCCTCCTGAGCCTTCAGAAATAGAAAGGGCAATGAAGGCAACTCTGGCTTCTTTTGATACGTCAGATACTGGACCTTCATCAATTTCGATTCCACTACCTCCGGAAAAAGTAGGTGACAGTGATAAGGATGAAAGTGACGAAGAGAAGCCTGTACCTAATCCACATATAACTACATTTTCACCAAATACTCAGGCAGTGCCAGAATATAAGACCCGAGCAGAAATGGCAGAAGGTCTTAGGAGGCTTTTCAGGGATTGTAATGTCCCTGGTGGGGCTACGTGGGAGCAAGCACTAAAGTTAATCTCCGGGGATCCTCGTTACTCCATCTTGAGGACGTTTAATGAAAAAAAGCAAATATTTAATGTTTACAAAACTCAAAGGTTAAAAGAAGAACGCGAGGAGCAAAGAATAAGAATTAAAAGGGCGAAAGAGGATCTAGAAAAGTATCTTTTGAAATGCAATAAACTGCACTCAACTATGTCATACCGTAGAGTAGATCAACTACTGTCGGACACGAAAGAATGGACTGATGTCCCTGATCGAGATCGCCGTGAAATATTCGATGATGTCATGCAAGAGGTAGGTAAGCGTGAACGAGAAGAAGCTAAGATTTTGCGAAAAAGGAATATACGAGTATTTAATGAAATTCTTAGTGAGATGCTTGATCTGACATATCGGACGACCTGGAGCGAAGCACAACAAATGCTGCTTGATAATACCAGGTTAGCTGAATAAACTTATGTAATTAATTTCCGCTATTAATGTTATGTCACATGTACTAAATTAAACCGAACCGGCAAGAGATTATTATCAAATTCATTTGTGTGACTTTTTGTTTTAAAAAGACAGATTTTACCTTTATTTCAGTGATCGGTGTTTGTTTATTCTGTAGATGGTACTAATTTGAGTAAATAATCTATGTGTGACGGTTAGAATAGTTCTCACACTCCATGTGTATTTGTGTTTCTATATTAACATAAAAGAAAAACCACGCCATGATTGCGAACGCCAGACTTGAAACTGAGAACACTGTTTTGGATAGTTCTACATCTTTATTCTCAGCATTACTGCAATAAGATGTTTAAACTTCAACTATTTCTTGAAATTGGGTAGTAGGTTACTAAACGGCGACTAACGTTTATGTTAATCGTTTACTGAGTAGTAATCAATGTGATATTACCTGGTTTGTAGTCATAAAATTAAATCAATCAAGTTTTCATTGTGCTCGCTAAGCTAAATGGCTTGACATTGTTTATTATTTATTTGAACATAAATATTGGTGGTCTTGAGTGCTGTTAAAAGTATGACGGCAGTTATCACTTCCCGGTTGCCCACACCGTGGAAGGGTTCTTCTAGAGGTACCTGAAAAGGAAATTGGGTTAGAAGTGGTCTTAATGACCTGAGAACGTGACCGCAGTGCCCTAGGGACAACTGCTTGGGGTCGGTCACACACGACCTTTTTGTGGGTAGTTTTTGTGTTAGCTCCGTTCTTCAAAGGACCTTACCGCCGGAGACGTATATCCGTGGGATAAGGCGAGATGTGCATTTTAGGGTCGACCTTTTCTAACCCCACCCATCCTTGTGGGAAGGCAGCATCGGTGTCATGCTGGTTGTCTGAAGGAAACACCTTACTGCTGTCACACCTCTGTACAGTCGGCAGTACGACTTCGCCTTCGGACCTTGGGTTTGCTGCTTTTAGCCCCCCAAATGCCCTGGTACGGCCGAGAGTGGGGAGAGTCCACTCTCCCTCTCGAAATGCTCTCACATGGCCAGCGAATATATAGCCTCTGCCAGGGAAGTCCTACTCACTGCCTTCTCGTGGCGGGGGTGTTGTTTACGAAAGTGAGAGGACGAAAAGCGAATGTCCGGCGCTCTAACCGGGTTGGTGGACACGGAGGGTCTACCTAGGAGAGTTGGAAAACCCTGATTCCAAACCACTGGTGCACATGGGCTCCAGTATCCTCATGGAACGAATGGCGAATGAACCTATTGTTGGTCAACGGCTACCACGGGACTGCATCTCCTTACGATGCTCCACTGCCTTGTGGAAGAGACCTTTTGGTCAAAGGCTCAGGGTGTGGCCCCCTAAGAAAACCACCTGCTTCAGTTTGGGCACCTGGACAGTATCACAGCCCACACACAAATAAATGAAATGATGAACTCTAATGACGATACTATCCCTGCTCATGCTAGAAGCAAGACAATTTACATTATTATTATTACCTTTATTATTATTACCATTATTATTATTATTATTATTATTATTACCATTATTATTATTATTATTATTATTATTATTTACCATATCGCTGACTCACCCCCTTTTATCCCCAATTTGTGTAACCTTACTTTTCAACTTATGCAGTAGCTCGCCCATGGTGGAAACACTGTCCTATCTAAACGATCTCCAGTCACTGTCTGGTTGAAAGTGAATGCTTCCACCGATTACGAATACTGAAGCAGTCTTTCTGAAACCACGTACGCCGTCCAAGTTGGCTTCCTTCAACGTTCGCACACTAATGCAGATCGGACAACAGATGGGGCTGGCTATGTGTTTGGAAGGTCTTAATGTTGATGTTTGTTGTCTATCCGAGACCCGTATTCAAGACTCTAGTGAAGTACTACAAATTCGCTCTCCATCTGTCGCTTCGAAAAGCTTGTTCCACGTGCATTTATCCGGGGACCCTGTGGCATCTTCGTCTGGTCTTACAGGCGTTGGTGTCGCACTAAGCGCTAGGGCTGAGGCAGCACTAATCGATTGGATCCCCATCAACAGTCGGTTATGTGCTGTTAGATTAGAAAGTTCCATCAAAGTGAGAAGAAACCGGCGTGAGAATCGGTGTCTTTTCGTCATCTCCGCCTATGCTCCGACAGATTGCAGCCCGGACGCAATCAAGGATGAGTTTTACCACCAGTTAACAGTTCTTCTCCAGAAAGCGCGTTCGACAGATATTGTAGTACTAGCCGGAGACTTGAATGCTCAGGTCGGGCGTCTAGGCACAGAAGAGAGTCGTTTAGGTGGCCGATGGAGACTTGTTGGTCGCAGGACAGATAACGGGGACCGTTTGCTGCAACTGTGCACAGACCACAACCTGTTTCTGGCCAGCACTAACTTCCGGCACAGTCATCGCCGGTGTGCCACCTGGCGTCCTCCCTCTGCATCCCAAGCCTGGACTCAGATTGATCACATCGCGATCAGCTACCGCCGGCCTGGTTGTGTACAAGACTGCCGCTCCTTTTGGAGTACCTATCCGGAGTCTGATCATGCCCTTGTCTGCGCCAATCTCACCTTACTTTTCAGTGGCCGAAGGATTGACCACCACCAACGGATCGATGTTAGTAAACTGGCTGCAACTTCTGTTGCAAGTAAGTATCGAGCGGAGCTAGCTTCTAGGCTAGCTACCATCCCACTGAAAAGTATAGATGAGCATTGGTTGCATCTTCATGACGCCATGAAAATGGCGAGTAAAGCCGCTTGCGGCTTCGCGAATTATCCCGCTTACAAGCACTGGGTTTCTTCTGGCTCCTTACAACTGATGGAAGCCCGTCGGTCTACTCCGGGTGACCGTGAGTTTGACCACAAACGAATGCTGTTACGTAATGAAATCGGGCAAAGCTTGCGTAAGGACCGGGAAGCCTGGTGGTCGGAGCGTGCTAATGAGATGGAAGAAGCAGCTGCATCTGGTAACTGCCGGAAGCTCTTCCAACTCATCCGAGCCACTGGCAGCAAGAAGTCTGATGTGAGTGAAACAATCTACTAGGATGATGGGATGCCAATCACTAACATCTCTCGACGTCTTGGACGATGGGCGGAATTTTTCGAAGGGCAGTTCAGCTGGTCTGCTGCTCCGGCAACATCAACCAATTTGTCCTGCCCCCCATGGCCGGTGACGACTAATCCACCAAACGAGGCGGAAGTCCGCAAGGAACTCCAACTCTTGAAACGTTACAAATCACCGGGCCCAGATGACTTACCTCCGGCTCTTTTTAAAGATGGTGGCGACTTTCTGGCTAAGGAACTGTCGGTGTTGTTTGCAAAGGTTTGGGAGCAAGAAAGTGTTCCAACATCATGGAATGAGTCAATCGTCGTCCGTATCTTTAAAAAGGGTTCACGTTGTTCCTGTAATAACTATCGGGGAATAAGTCTACTTCCGATTGCGTCCAAACTATTGGCTTCTGCCATTCTTCGTAGGTTGTTTAAAACCCGAGAACGATTGACTCGCGAGGAGCAGGCTGGGTTTCGTTTTGGTCGAGGATGCATTGATCACATCTTCGCCCTCCGCCAAATGTTAGAACACCGTCATTCTTATCGCAGGCCAACAATCGTAGTGTTTCTTGATATCAGGGCTGCCTTCGATTCATTGAACAGGACTGTTCTCTGGGATTGTCTATTGAAGAAGGGTGTGCCTGAGAAGTTCATTAACATCTTAAAGGCCCTGTATACGAACACCTCAGGCAGAGTGAGGGCATACAACCACCTTTCTCCCTTGTTCCATTCGAGCAGTGGGGTTAGGCAGGGTTGCCCGATCTCACCATTCCTCTTCAACTTTGCCATCGACGACATCCTGGAAACAGCTCTGGTGGATGTAAGTAATGGCGGTGTGGATATGTTGCCTGGAGAACGACTTCTCGACCTCGAGTATGCGGATGATATTGTCTTACTGTGCGATAATGCCCAAGGCATGCAATCCGCACTTAATCAGTTGGCAATCAGTGTCCGCAGGTACGGCATGTGCTTTGCACCCTCCAAGTGCAAAGTACTCCTACAAGACTGGCAGGATTCTCATCCTGTACTCACCCTGGATGGTGAGCAGATTGAAGTAGTTGAGAAGTTCGTGTATCTAGGTAGCTATATAAGTGCTGGTGGTGGCGTGAGTGATGAGATTGATGCACGTATAAGGAAAGCCAGATCGGCTTATGCCAATCTGGGCCATCTTTGGCGCCTTCGTGATGTTAGTCTGGCTGTAAAAAGTCGGATTTACAACGCGTCGGTGAGAGCAGTTTCGCTCTATGCTTGTGAAACCTGGCCTCTCCGAGTTGAGGATGTTAGACGTCTCTTTGTGTTCGATCATCGTTGTCTCCGAAGGATTGCTGACATACAGTGGCTAGCTTCTGTTGGTCCTTCACGACTCCCTGGCTGGGGTCCGAGAGATGGTGCAACACAGTGGCTAGAAACGTTATCGGATATGGCTCAGAATAGAAGCCAGTGGCGATTCTGCTGCAACCTTCTTTTACTTTCTACATAAAGAATGGTTCTAACTTTCTTAACTGAAAGAGTCTTCTGGTTTAACATTTCAGTCCGCCTTATCTTTTCATCCCTTCTCTTCCTACTTTCATTATTTTGTGTGGCGCATATGTATCTGGTGCCCTTTTGTACCAATATGTATGTGTTTAAATAAATAAACTCTTCAACTGACCTATCTGGCATGGTAGGACTTTGAGGAACGATTGTTCCAGCTAGTATAGCTCGATTGGTTCATCACGATAGGCAAGCCCGACCACCACGTCAAGGTAGCAGCAACGGTCGGGTGTTCATCTTGTTGTGCTAACGAGGTATGGCAACTTGGACTGATGCATATATGTGCCTGGTCCTACGTTGTAGCTGACTGACTGACAAATATTGGTACAAGGGGGCACCAGATATATATGCACAACACTTGACATTGTGACTCACTTTGTTTTGATGTGAAGTTGTGAGAAGTAATTGATAAGATATCCTGAACCTAGGTTTCGTGCTTGTTGGGATTCATCAACATATCGTATGTTTTATTCCCGTGAACATTTTGTTCCTCTCCTAACCATATTCTTTATTTTCGGTCATTTTACTGTCATTATTATTGATATTACTTCTACTCCTCCATTATCCATCCTGTTAGTTTCACCACACTGTATTTGTGTGACGTGAAAGCTCAGACAGACGTACCTAAAATCTTCAAGAAACTGATGTTCAGTCATACAATAATTCAAAACTGTTTTATCCAGTGCTGCAGTCATGAGTGTTACAGCTGCGCTATTTTGATAGGAACAAGAATGTAAAGCGGTAATTGAAATAACCAATCAGTACTTGAGGATGGAAAACAAATACAGTCGCACCACTGTGACAGACTTTGAGTCATGTCGTCAAACGTCTCGAACTGTTGATGACGAGTATTGTGTAACCTCAACCATCAAGTCCTCACCTACTGTCAGTAACGTCGTAAACCATACCTTAAACGTCGTTAACTTTTTCATAACTTATAATTACACGTCACCGAACATTGCATGTTAGGTGGTGTTTAGACAAGCGCATGTCCTATTCATCTTGATTGATGATATATGTTCTGATGAGTGGACTTAGGATTTTTACTTCGTATCATAGATCTAACCTTAGCAGTGCTCTGTCGTCCCACAGTATATGGAGATAACTTCAAAGAAACAATAAGCTTTCACACTATCTATGTCATTTTCATTGGGGATGTTTAACAGCCGTAGGATAATGAAGAGCAAGATTTTTCTCACTGCAACCCCTCGTTGATTGGGAAATAGAAATCCCACTCACACCACAGGGAACCCCGATTAGTAGGAGTTATTCTTTTTATGTCCTTAAGAAATTTTGTCGGGCAACAAACCATCAGTATTGATCCGAATTTCAAAGTTGAGTAATCAATATACTCAACTACTTCACTCCTTATGGTCAAACCAAGGGCTAACGCTGACTAGTTACGGTGTAATATTATACATTAAGAATAACATTCATACTATTCCGACTTGCTTACAATGTTACTTAAAGTGTTCAAGCAACCTCTTTTTTCGGTTTCCATCAAGCGAGACATTGTCATCTGCTTATTCCGGTTTGATAGTTAAATGTGATGGGGGATCAGTAAAATCTCTGAAACGTCTAACAGATCAAGCGTTAATTTGGAAAGGGTGTTTGCTCATTCTAAGTCGATCAATTTGGTTTTCATATTATTGATATTCACACCCGTTCTTGACTTATCAGCTGAATTTATGCTTGTGGTCTCGTAATATATCAAATTGCTTTGTCTGTACCGACCGTTATTCTTCTATGTATTTTTAAATTTACACTGATGATAGATTCACTGGAGATGTAGATTTACAAAACTTAGATAAAGAGGATGCCCTTGTCTGTTTTGAAGAGCATATTTGCATGCTTGAACAAGAGCACGACGAAGATAAAGAACGCGAACGTCGGAGACAAAAAAGGGAACAACGAAAGAATCGAGAAGCATTCATAGTTTTACTTGATGAATTGCACGAACAGAAATTACTCACTTCTATGTCTCTATGGAAAGATCTATACCATATAATAAACAAGTAAGCGATTTTATGTTAATTCTAGTACATTATTTTTTGGCTCTGATAATCCAAAACAGTATAGAAATTTGTGAAGTGTTATGAAAAATAGTAAACCGCACAGAAAAAGTCAAGAAATTATTTACTAATGTATCAATTCTACCTAACATTTATAGCAGCTATCCTACAACCAATTTCGATTATGGTTAAGTCCTTTCATTAACTTACTTAACAGACATTGTCATCGGGATAGTAACAATTTTCATCTTTCTTTGTACTGTCATGATCACTAGAGCACATGACAAACTAGTCAAAACGTTGATTGCTTAAATATCATTTGATGACTCATCCTCCTCCCCATATATTTATTTTATTTTATTTAAACACATAAATGTTGGTACAAGGAAGCACCAGATACATATGCACCGCACAAATCCCGTTCGACTTGTTTGAGGGCTATGATACTGCCCAGGTGCCCAAACTGAAGCAGGTCCTCCCCATATATGTATGCACTCAAATCTTATTATCAGCTTTTGCTTTGTCTTGCTGCGTCCTTATACAATTTAACTATAAATTTGCTTATGTAATTGCTCGCGCTTGCTCGCTGATACTTACTCATACTTCACCCGATGTGGTTGTAGCTTTGTGACGTGCGTCATTTGATAATTAATTAGTTGCAGCTTCTCTTCGCCTTCTGATTTCATGCACCGTTAAGATTTGTATTATAACGGAGATGAAAGATTAGCGAAGCACTGCACTACACACTATACGAATAAACACAACGTGCCGAAATCCATCAACAAAGAAACAAAGTACTAAAGGAAAATGACTGTATTGAATATAAGATTGTTCGAGAAAATAAACTATACAAATATACTTTCTGTAATTTCATGCAAATCTGTTTTCTACAATTGACGATCATCTACTTCAGTTGTTTTACAGACATTCATAAAGCTTATGTTTTCATAGATGAGATCATGTAAGCAGCTATTAACTTTATCGCTTGGTGCTGTATATCTTTCTGATCATCAAGAGACTGGTTTTATACTTCAATTTCATCTAGTCTAGGACGTTTGGAGGACTTATTTTAACCTCCTATTTGTTTAGCGCCCACAGTCTCGTCAGCCAATCTGGTTTTATAGATCACTGTGAGCTTAACAGTAACCTTACTCCTTTTGTGGTTAACTATTCAACCAAGGATGTAAGACAGCTGTGATAAAATTGTTCTATCTGTAATTATTTTGTGAATTTCTTCTAAAAATGTGCTAAAACTTCATTTCTATGCTTTCAATATACCGTATAAATTAAACGTTTTCATTACTACTATAAAGAGGAAAAGAGATGATGGTTTTTTTAAAAATTTCAGATCCATACTACAAGTCTTATTCGTCTTGCTCAAGTCTCTCATACTATTAGGCAGCAGTTAATGTTAAGGAGCGGTGGTCTAGTGCTTACTGCGCTCTGTTTCCAGCCATTAAGTTGTGCATTCGATTAACGTTCCGCCTACTTTAGCTGAGTTTTATTGCTGGCTATCACAATATGACCCAAGACCTGTTACATAAACCTATATTTGATAAGATAGTCACACAATAATCACCAAAGTTTTTTTAATAGATACCCTTCTTATTTCTATCTAATGACTATGACGTCGTTTTAAAGTATTTTACTCAGTTTAGGGTTGCACCTAAGGTTGATGACAGCTTGTCGTGCGCTTCACGTGCCGTATGCGTTTGGTATGCGTTTATTTAATCTTTGCCTAAAACTACGAATTCAACCTCAAAACAGCCGATATATTGACTGTTAAGAAGTATTTGAGAAATACAGACAACGAGAAATGTATAGTCCTACGTCTCGCTTTTACCATTCAATCTTACAATCATGGAATATATTAGCTCATTTGATAAGAAATATGTTTGGCTTGTCGACATCAAACATAAATTTGTGACTTCCGTTATAGGTGACAATTATCGTTATTGATGTGTATTCAATACACTTTACGTGTACGGATGAGCTTTGATACAGTAACCTATGACAGATATATGGTGAGACAAAATTTTGTTTGATTTGACGCTAAATTTTCATACTTTGTGTGTACTTCCAACTGTTTTAGAGATGATCGATTTCACAAAATGCTTGCTCAACGTGGTTCTACTCCATTGGATTTATTTAAGTTCTATGTTGAAGCATTAAGAGCTCGTTTCCCAGCTGAGAAGAAGATTATCAAAGAGATTTTAAAATACAACTGTACACCGATCGACTTGTCTGTTTCATACGAAGATTTTTGTTCAGTAAGTTTTTTGTTGTTTTCTGTAGTGAATCTCTACAATTTAACAGTTTAAAATATCATCATGAGGTGTTAGCACTATTACCATTTTGCGTAACGTTAGCTGAAATTTAACCCAATCTATTTGTGATTAATTTAACTTAAGATAAAGCACCTTACTTTTGTGTCATGATGATATATTCTTATGGAAGGAGATTTTAGTTCTTATTCTGAAGCTTTCTCTTGTTAAAACGATCAGGAGGATACTAATCAGTAAATGAAACGCTATTTTACAGTGTATGGCGAGTGATGGCTGTTCACCAGATTGAGTTGAGTAATATCAGAAGACAAGACAACAGAATAAGTTTTCTTCCTAGTAAATTGACATATTATGTACAAAATGCTAAATACAAAGATAAACATGATTAAATATCATTAGCAAATACAAGGTGTTAGTTTTGTGACTCACCCACTCTTTAATAAAACTAAGATCAGGTTATCGAGTTTAATCATGGCCAGTTTTACGATTGTTCACTCATTTCTCCGTTGATTTTTTGTTCCTGTGTTGCAAAACATGGATTCGTGATGTTATTTGTCTAACAAACTATTTTGATCTAGCTTCACATTTTCATCAACAAATTCATCTTTTAATGAATTAAACTCTAAATCCTACGCCCACTAGTGTTTCATTTAGGGTTTGATTACGTTTTCTGTTTTTAACCTGTATGTGTGTTTACTTTCACTAGATTAAAAAACTGTTTTCTGGTCCGTTGATTTGTGTTTTGATAAGTTTATTGAGGGGCGGAGCGTTTTAATCAACAATCTGATTCTGTACGTTGTTATTAGTCAACTGGATTGTAGGAACGAAATCTTGTGAAATATAAAATCCCGTGAAAATGAAATCTTCAGTCAACCATAGTTTCTTTTTCTCGTATTATGTGCTTGAATATGTACAACATGTTTTCACACTGGTCCATGTTTATTACACAGTTAATGTTTGAAAACAGTGATTCCTTGTCACTAAAGTGCAAAGTCCATAAATTCTTCTGCTGAACTCAGAAATTAACAAAGTGAAATTGGTTGGTTATAAATCAACTGCATTTTGTAAATATAAAATGGTCAGTATCGTTGATTCATACTTATTGGTTATTATTTTATATCTAAATGACAATGGAGTTTTATATTCTAATATCAAGTTTTGGGATATTTTTCTTCAGATAATAAGCTCTGACGAACGCAGCAAAGGAATAGATGAAGGAAATATACGTATGACGTATGACGGTCTACTAGAAAAAGCTCAAGGTCGTGAACGTGAACGCCAAAGAGATGATGCTAGGCGTATCAGAAAACTTGAACAAAACTTTTGTGAAATGCTTACAAATTCCTCCTTCATTCAGTCCAATACTAGTTGGGAAGAAGTTCGAGAAAAATTGAGTGACCATCCTGCCTTCAAAGTAAATTTCCAATTTCTTATTGTATTTTAATCTCAATCTCAGTTGGTTTTTAGTTGATTAGTAGCCTTTCATGATTAGATTCTAAATAAATTGATTTAACTTGGTAGGCACACATAGATGGTGGCTAGCAGTGGAATCCAGGAGGCTCGTTTCGTCCAATATAGGACTCGTCAGCTGGACGTGCCTGCATCCCAGAGTTGATGTTCACTCCGGGACTCGAACCCAGTGCCGTTCACCTCAAACGCCACTACGTTATCCACTTAGCCATTATGTCCAGATAGCCACTAGCTTGTGCAATAAGGCAACGTTTTAATTCATTTTTGTATTGGTTATTTGGATCTCCCCATTGATGCGTAGGGCTTCAATTGATCAGTCCCATCTCTGCTCGTAGTGCTTGTGACTTCACAGGATGCACATGTGCCAAATTGATTTGACTGATGTATTTAGTCAATTTTGAATATTTTGTTTGTGTAAATCAGACTCCGAAAACCATCATTGTTGTTGGTTTAAGATTGTCATCTTTATTTTTTTAGTTTTTAATTACATTCCACATTAATTAAAATTTTTTATTGTTTTACGTTACTCAACCCGTTCTTTTACAATTATTACCTTTTGTCTGTTTGAATATTTAAGCTGTCGAGATTTCCATCTTCAGTTTTTTAATAAGAATGACAATTCTGTATTTTGGTTTATTTCGTTTCTCCGTTACCATATTTAACCAGTGTATTGTTATTATCATTATTATTATTATTATAACCAACGAACATAATACTGATAATTATTTTAAAAAAATAAGTATCTTTTTGAAATTTTAAGGCTTTGAGAATAAAAAAATACTACACTGAACTCATCTTTCTTATCCAGGATCCTGTCTACAATCTGCTTTTATAATTTATGTGTTTATTCCTTACAGTTATGGATTGGTAAGACATTTCAAGAACGTTTAAGTTTAATTGTCTTGTAGATAGGTCTTGAACATTTTCTCATTATGTACGTCTCTAGAACTTTATTGGCCAACTTCACTTGAATATTTGCCTTACGATCAACAACCAGATTTCCGAGTTGTTGTTATAGTTACCGCTGAGTTGACAATGAATAAATAAGTTATATGATTTCCTTTCCATCGTCACTACCAACTGGATTTCTACTTATCTCACGTATTCGATGTGTTCACAGTTAGTGGATTAGTAGTAGCCTAGTGGTTAAAACCCAACTTTTAACCAGTAAGTCTCAAATTTAAATCACACTCTACATACTTCGGTTTGGCTAACTGAGTTGTAAGTGTCTCCATTTACTACACATTAAACTGTGTGACTTAAAGCCCAGTACATCAAACTACAGTTGGGAACTGTGTTGCGTCATCACATTGTACAGTAAAATCACTGTAGAACTTTTTATTATTGATAGTGATTATACGCATGTACATTTAGATTATTAGTATACTACTTATAATTCATCCGTTTTGTTTTGATGACACTTGTCAAGATTAATGACATATCAATGTTATATAATGTCTTTACATCCCCACTATTTCCTAACTATCGCTCGTTATTCTCTTACCGCTTTCTTAGTTTGTTGTTTGTTCACTTTTTCGATCAATTATTTCAGTTGTGAAGCGTTCGTTTTTGCTCACAATTCATTACTTCAATGAATATTTATTTTAGGGTTTGTCGTTGGAATCAGAAAGGATTCGACTCTTTAAAGAGTATATTATTTCAATTGACAACTCAAATGAAGACGCTCATCGGTCTCGTAAAGATAAACATCTATGCGAAAGGTTGGTTTTTCAAGCATTTCTGTTGGAATTTTTATGGTTTAGTCAACTTTTTTTAATTAGTGTATCAATTTCTCACTTATTTTTGAGGCTTTCTGTATAGCATGGGAACTTTATTCCTGTTCTCGTAATAATTAATTTCATGGGGGTAAGGTGATTAATTTACAGACAACCGAACTACTTATTGATATCAGTTGTGGAGATCTCAAAGAATCAGTGTCTCTGTTTTGAAATTTTTCGAAATCTAAATTTAGAACCTTCATTTAGGTTATGCTTGGCAGTGGGATGTGGCCTCTTTTGTCTCCCTATTTTGGACACGTTAATGGGATGTACCCGTATTCGACTATTGACGTCCACACTAAAGCTTACATTTCACTACCTGTCGCTTCGAACACTAATTCATTGAGCTACTTAGTCTTGGTAGAGCTACTGACTTGTACAACTCGTACATAGCTAATTTTCCGTTGTTTATATTGGAGACTTCACATGTCCATACCAATGCAGTCTTCCTAAGTTGAACAATTGAAGACAAAAACTGATCAGTTATAGTCCCTGTATATCAACAACGGGAAACTACAAATCCTTATTAATTCATGTTATATTTTGTAGTGAGTGTATGTCACTAGGATTTACTAATACGATATCAAATCTAGAGGGACTAGATAAATAAAAAAACAGGGCAAGAAAACAATTCTAAACAAGGAATTAAAGTAATGATGGGCATCAATACATAAGATACGTCAACATTAAGTACGGAAACGGATAATTAAACGAGACGAAGATGTTTACTCCTCTTCATATGAAGATATTGTAAACAATAATGTAGAGAGTAAATTAATGGTTATTTTTTGCAGTAATGATTGTAAAATTACGAAAAAGATAAAGACACCTTGATGAAACATTTACGCTACGAATGACCATGAACGACAACGACATGGTTGTGTAAATTTCCTAAAATAAACTAATTCGAATAAAAAGGAAACATATTCACCTTTTATAACTGACAAATACATTTTAAATGGTGATTAAACTGCAGTAAGTAACAAACGATCACATCATCTTTACACAAGGTATATTTCTGTTCAGAAATGTCACTGTTGTCAGTAGTTTTTTGCCTATGAACTTTGTCTTTCTTTTTAGTAGATAGTATATAGTTATTTATCAACATATGTATTTACCTACATATAGGTCTGCTTCTATTCAAGATGTTGAAAAAGATGTCGATGCAATGAAAGATCAGAAGAAAAAACAAACTGTTTCCCCTTCCCCAGTTCCTTCAGAACATAGTCATACTCGTAGGTCGGACGATGAAAGGGGATCATCACAGAAGCGTAAACATCGTAAATCAAAGAAATCAAAACATCGCAAATCAAAGCACCATAAACATCACAAAAATACAGACAAGCGTCAAGATGAAGAATTAGAAGAAGGAGAAGCTGCTGATGATGATGATGAGGATGATGAGGCTGCGAATCCTCAAACTGGTGATCGTGCCAGTGGTAGTAAACGTCATCATCATCATCGACGTGGCCAACGCTCTCGGACGTCTGACCCTGAGGATGGTGAAGAGGTGGACAGTACTAGTGATGGAGAATTTTGTGACCGTGATTCAAAGCGTAAAAGACGTTAGTATTGTAAAACAGTCTTAGATAAATTTTCTTTTGGTTGTGTACATAATAGCATGTCATTTTGTTACATCGAAAAGGTTTTATTGATCCATTTCAGCATCAGGTCTGCTGGTATCGCTATACTTCGTGTAAGCTTTATTTGCTCTTAGATAGTTTACTTTAAAAACGTTTCTCTGTATATCTATCCTATTTAAGTAACTAGTCAGAACGTCCTACTTTAAACAAATTTGGCTATCCGTGGTAATTAAATTCGGATTCTTGTTTAGACTAGAAGTGATTTTGGGATGACGATCAGTTACGTTATTTCCTTGTAATTTACAGGATAGATATCTTACGACTAGTTGATAAGGAAAGACGACGTCTTTTGCCAAAATAAGGTCCTAAACTATTTCGTCACCTTTTCTTTGTGACTTCTTCCTAGAATTTTAACCAACAAGTGGGAATTAAGAAGCTGTCGAACAGCATACATTACTATTTTGTTATTGGTAATAATGTTGCTACAAAGGTAGTTTGTGGTTCCAACTCAGTTTCTCAACTGAGGTATAGGTTGTTTATTTTCTTATCTGTTGTGGAAATGTTTATTTTTATGGTGCTGGATGAACAAATATGTAGGGTTCAGGTTATATTGTAGTTTGCCATTAGCTTGTTTCTATCGGGTTATTAGCTACCAAAGTGTTCTCAACTGAATAATGTGGTGTTTCGCGTTATCTTGTTAGATGCTCAGTGTATATACTTTTAATTATAGCACATCTGTGAATAATGCTTGTTTAACACATCAATAATAATAGATCTATCACTTCTGCCTTGATAGTTGAGCGCTATCAATACGGAGCCTTTAAAGACTCGAGCTTCAATGAATCGCTAACTTTTTAAGAGCTTCCACGCAAATGTTTTATTCGTGTAACTATATTATTTTCGTTCGATACTGTAACTTTAGTAACGTAGTTTATGCTGAAAGGTCACTTAACTTTTTGTATTTAAACATCTAATGCAATTCGAGTTATATAGCTTTTATAAATAAACGGCTATTGTACATCGATAAACTACGATGGATGAGACACCAATTTTATTGTTGCGTTTCAAATCATAGGATTATGAACCGTTGTAATGGCCTTTGAATTGTTTGGCCGTCTGATAAAGATGGACAGTTCATTATCTCACGTCTTAAAAGATTGTATGGTTGTGGTGTTGGCAGACTTTAAATTAAGTTGCGGACTTCTTTGGTGACTGAAGGAGGGGGGAACAAAGCATAAATCTCAGTAGCGAACTCCCCCAGATTTAATATTGCGTCTCTTGAAATAATGCTGTAGATGAGCAAACGTCAACTTAGGGTCATTAAAATCAAATTCTAGGAAGCAGCTTTCATAGTACCTGTGACAAATTACATTTGTACTCCAGGCTTTTGGTTTGGACTGAGTGTGATATATGGTATATGACCAATATATTAATTTAATGAGTGGGATAAAATAATAACTACAGCACGAATAATTTGCGACTAAAGCAATACTAATATAAATATGTATATACGAAATTCATGTTAAAGATAATGAGAATGTTACCTTTTATGACCAAGCAAAATAATAGGCAGGACAGTGATCAATTTTTGCGTTCAAGAATTGTGCTCATCAATTTAGTACCGGTTAGTACCTCTCGTGTTATCGGTAGAAAAAAAAAACAGATTAGCAGTAAATAGGTCTTTATTTAGACCGTGGGAGAGCGAGGTTATTTTTTGGACATTCAGTATAAAATTATAAGAAACATCATGGCTATAAAGAATAAGTAAGTGAATGAGTACTTGACCTACAATGTTTTTGTTGGGGATGTCAAATCCTCAGAACTTACTTGGTAAATGGCTTAGTTTTGTAACTTTATTTTGAAAATTTGAATTTAGCTGTTTCCGCGCCAAACGCGCTCTTTTTACCTTCACATCATATTTCCCACTTGTAAACTATCTTAAACGCTATTGGTCCATTGTTTCTTTGTGTGTGCTATTTACTAATGATGCTCAAGGACAAATTGTTGTTGTATAAATGCGCTTGACTTTTTCCCTTATTGGATTGCTTGTACTCGGCTGCTGACGGAATATATATATATTCCCCTACATGCCTTGGACTTCTTCATCTAGTTAGCGGGGCCTGGGACAACCGATTAGAATAGCTTATCGTGTCATTGGCTTCGTTCGTTACCGCGGAATCGATTTAGCTTCAAGCATAACAGTTTTGACATTACTACAGTGTTTGGGGCCAACTCTTAAGCAATCAACCAGAGTTGTTACATACTCAAATGCGAAATTTCTCACAGTAATTAAGAGATTTTCGAGCGATTTTTACAACTGCGCTACACCTGTTACGTTTGCAAGTGTTATTTATGATCCTTGCGACAACTAAGAATGAGCTATCCTTAAACGAGGAGGCTTATTCTATCTTCAAAGTTGGATCACGTTATGATTACTGCAGGTCAGTGGTCGATGGACGCATTAACGGCAAATGTAGCCGGTGAAAATGGGTGTCTGTCATATAGCACTGACTTGATGGCGAAAATCCGCTATCTCGTCGACACAGGAGTTAACGGCATTCCTGTGAAATACTAATGACTGTTCACAGGATCTAGTCTTCAACTTACAGGGCTCAAACTGGCAAACGACCACTGCATGTTGTAAGAGATATGTGTATATTAATGTGGGTTTACACAAACCAGTTAACTGGATTTTCGTCGTGGTAGACCTTTCAATGCCAGTCATTGGTAAATACCCGCTACAACATTGCATTCTACACATAGGCCCAAGCAAACGGAAGTTAGTGGACGGCACACTTTATGAAACGCGACCGAAACTGTTGTGTGCAACCAACGATGACACACATATCTCAACTATTCACGCACCTGTATTTTCGAAGGCATGGCTACTAGTTCTCGAAGATCTAAGATTGGTCAAAAACCAATTTAAGTGCATAACGGAATTGGTTATCATGTTGCCATCAAACAACGCATGGAATCGTCCTTGCACATAGTTCCAAAAGAGGACAGGAACGACAGGTGTCCAAATGGTGTGCGACCATATTTTTGTGACTGCTGACGATATTCCTAAAGACAGATTCATTAATCCCCTCGGCGTCTACGAATGTTTGGGCATGCCTTTCGGTTTGAGAAATATTATACGAAGTCTTTGGAGATTCGACGGTGATGTATTTGGTAGTCCCACTTACGTCCTCGGGTTTAGGATGATCGCTTGATCCTAAGTCTGGATGGAGAGTCCCATCTACAGTATCTGAACCTTGTTTTCATATGGCTCCAACAACATAACAATACTGTAATCATTAAAAAATGTTGAACAGTTGCCGTTTGTCTAGACTTATAAGGGCGCTTCTGACGTTCAAAGCATTCTCTATCTGCGAAGAGGATTGTTGATCATCCTGGATTACACAGAACCGACCACAGTCAAGCGGTTACGCACGTTTAGCAACCTGATGATTTTCTATCGACGGTCCATACCGAATCGTGTGTCTTTCACAATAGTAACAAAGTTCTGACCGGGCAGGTACAAGCCTTTTTATATTCATGATCAATAAATAGTAGGATTGGTTTGCAGATATCCTTCTCCAGCAGGGTTGTAAAGCAAATAAAATAAATGACATTGCAAACATACTGGCGATTAAATAGTTAGTTTTATGCACTAGTAGTGTACACTGAGTACAGTTTTTACTATCCGTTTTAAAAATGACATTCCGATCACATTGTGGCTGGGAGAAGCGCAAAGCAGATTCAGACCCGGCATTCATTTGTTGGAATGATGGTGCTGCTAAGTACTTGTGCAATACAACTGTTTAAGAGGTCCATAATTGTTATAATGCAATGACTTGGGGCGCTTGGTATTATGTGTAACCCTGATAGAAAGCGTGCAAAAGGTTTGTTTCAAATTTCTTCCAGGTGCAAGAAGTTCCATATTTGTTCATCGACAATGTGACACTGAAAAAAGTGAGCAAAAGAAGAGCAGGAAAACATTTAGACATAAACCCTCAACAGTGCTTGATGGTTTGTAGTAGTATGGTGTGGTCTACTTATATCCACGTAAGTAGTATATGGCGATGGTCAGGCATAGAATGTATTTTGGCAAAAGATCGATAAGGAAAGAACAGGAATGAAGCGCAATCGGTATGAAAATGCATGAACAATGAAATCAGAGAAAATGAACTGATATTTGCAGAAGAAAAAAATTAAGATTAAGATAATTGATTGTTATTTTGCGAATTAACCGTTGATTGTATGGTTGTCAGATTTTAATAAGTTAGTTTGTAATTTGCACTTAAATACACTCGATTGTCCCTACCCGTGTTCTTGTTAATTACAGTAGAACTGTAGTATCAGTTTATATGTTAAGTCCATATACTTTATTCTAGTTGCTGGCCAAGCCAATTCACCTTTCCGTTGAATCATCTTTTGATCTTGTTAATCGTTTGCTTATAAACCTTGACTATATTTTTATATGAGCGTATATGTGTGCACACTTCGTATCTTATTCATCGTATGTCTGTCACTCATTTTTGTCTGACTATAAATGTTGATTAACGCTTGCTTAAATCGAGTTGGCTATCCAGCCAATCTGTTTTGCGCATGATCTTTCGCTTCGTTCGCTTCATCACTCTGATTATCTGGCCAGATCAATGACTGTAGAAAATATATGTATCCTAATTCCATTCTCGTATTTGACTTATTTAACTCCGTTATTCACTAACGCGGATAAAGTCATTTATTATATACGAGTATAGACGAAATCAGATTTACGCCACAACAGAAGTGAATGCCTCGCCGAACGAGCACGACGCTACAGAATTGGATGCCGAACGAACATGGACCAGAATCGACAACCTCTGCGTACGAACTCACTACATAATTGGCGACCGCAACGAGCGAACACAAACCAAAAATGGAACCGTCGACGACATATTCCGTTATGATTCGAATAATCATCATATGCTCATTATTACAATAATGTCATATAATCATCTAACGTGGAATTATAATTTTTGTTCGTATTAACGCTAAACCATGACATTCACGCAGTCGAATCATTAATCGAACAAATTATAATTATATGGACATTACACGTTGTGATATTCGAAACTCACTGGATTATTTTTATTATCCATGTTATATCCCCTGGCGAATTATGAATCATAAATCTGAGGTCCATTTATGGACAAATGTAATACGCCTATTCCTATTGGATAGTTGTTAAATAAGTGACTTAAATCTGAGGTCTATTTATGGACAAATACAATATGCCCATTCCCTATTGGATAGTTATTAAATATGTGACCTAATCGTTTCCGTGTTCCTCTTATCATAACCTTTATTTTGACCTTGGAACTATTATTATTGATTACTTTCCCCCTAGCTACAGCCACATTGGCCAATTACTGTACAAATGTTATTTTTCTATTTTTGATATATGTGGTCTGTTTGGTTAGTATATATAACCCAGTATGCTTGTAAATAATGATTCATATTGCTGAGGCTGTTATTTGTGTTCTGGACTTAACGGGCTGGGCTAGGCAGATAGGAAGGACCGAATAGCACCCAAGAGTGCTCGTACGTATTTACTGTATCATTGCACGTTCACATATATTATAAGGGCCTAGAAATCCATACGTTATAACAATCCAATGACGTGCAATTTTCCTGATTCAAGTGAGTTCGTTCCATTTTTTTTTTCATGTCACTTTCGGTCTAATATTACACTTTATCATAGACATAAGTTTGGAGTCATACTCCCGATGGTAGGAACTTATGTTCTCGATATGCAACTAATGTCCATTCATCTCATTGGTACGCAGCAATCGTCGTTTCCTACGTTTTCAGCGACAACCTAAACCGAACTTCCGCAATTTTTGTTTCACTATGATCCCTAATTTAATGTCTATACGCAAATCAAGTATTCGACGCCGCATTACCAGCCGATTAGTAATGATTATGTTCATATTATCTATTCATCGACATGTAAATCTGAATGCTGCATCATCTATTACCCATCAAAAATATTTGGTTACTGCAATTAGTATTCTATTTCCATTGCATGGTATACAAGAACATAGAGTTTAGAGCTGGTCTCTCAAAGATACACTCTTGTTCGTCACATCCAAGTCAGTCTCACTTGCCGTCATCGATAATCATATGTATTGGTATTTTTGTTATGCCTTAATACGGTTTCGTAACAAACGAGGTTGAGCGCATATCCCTCTAACTACACAAACCACGATAGGCTGCATGACCATAAAGGAATACGACTCCGCATATCTCGTTTCAGCAGTCACTATCCTGTTCCTCTGGTCATTCTACTAATACATATTTAACGATAACTCAACGCAAGCGACAACGCACACTGACTTCGCATTTTATTATCATTATCAGTACATCAACCGTTGATGCAGTCATCATCCTACGGCTGGATTATTTTTTGTCCCACATAAACTCCAATCGTGTAAATTCGAATCCACTCATCGCCAATCGACTCTGTTCACTCGACTACAGCTTATCAGAACATATTTCACTGTTCTTTATCGTCATATTCAGTCAGCACCACAGAGCAATTACTGTTATACTCTATTTTCACGATATTTCGAATTGCTTATACGAACCTGTTATTTTATCGATCAGACAGTCACCACATATATGCATGTTAAATTTTTTTCGTACGCTTACTAATGTACACATAATCATATGCTAGCATTTCAATTTTTATCCGCACTTTGACGATATTCATCTACATTTTTACATACGTATGACACTTTCGTTTAATACGCTCACCCCACTTCACACTGAAATTCATCAGGTATTGTACCATTTTTTCCCACATTTTTACGTTATCCACATACCGCTTCAGTGTTATTTTTCGAAAACAGACATTTTTTCATAAATGTGCTATTTTCTGCAAGGGGGCTATGTAGTATCAGTTTATATGTTAAGCCCATATGCTTTATTCTAGTTGCTGGCCAAGCCAATTCACCTTTCCGTTGAATCATCTTTTGATCTTGTTAATCGTTTGCTTATAAACCTTGACTATATTTTTATATGAGCGTATATGTGTGCACACTTCGTATCTTATTCA